TTCTTTTTTGACATTTTTATTAATCAAAGACAGAATGACTTCCATATTTGGAGTGATAGGACAGATCCCAGGATACTCTCACAGCTATGATAAGCTTAACCAAAAGACATGTCGCAGAGCACACCATGGATATGGAGCAACACCCTTGTCCTGCCTGGGTGAACTGGCATCACCAGCACCCTGCAGAGGGTCCTCAAGAAGAGGATATTCCATTGGCAGTGGACCTCAACTCTGGGAGGGACATATCAACAGCTCCAGAAGAGAAAAAGGAGAATTTGGCATCACACCTGATCAAGACGGTCCCCAGGTATCGGCGGAGAGGCTCGGACAGACTTGCACACGAATCAATATGATTGGCAAAAATGTCCCCTTTATTAGAGGAAAGGCAGCTTATATGCTGCCTGTGGCACAGAGACATGTGACTCTTCCCCAGGTTACATTGGATACATAAGGAAAACATACTGTGGTGTACAGTACTAATTGGATAACAGTAGGTGTCCATAAAACTTGTTTTCCCGACAGAACAACTCCTCCTTCACCTTGGCACAAGGCCTGCAGCCATACCAGTGGTGCAGTATCTTTTTACTGTCTGCACCCAGCCATGCCAAGGTGAAGGTCTCAGAAATGCAATAGAAATTGTTCACACAATTTCTGTCCTCCGACAAATGCCCTGTTGGAGTTTGAACAATTTAAATTGCATTTCTGTAACATTCCTTATTGTACCCATAACATTTGAATCAACGCAGACATACAATAACACTACTGTCATTACTAAACTTAACCTATTGACCCCAAGATGTGTATTCTGAAAGTGTGCCTAAAAGTGAGGGTTGATTCTTAAAACTTCCACTCCGGCCAGAAAATCCTTGGAAATGGAACTCCATTAAACTCTGGGCCATATGTCTTCTATTATTCTTTTTCACACCTTTGCCCTTAAACAACACAATGACATAATCATATATTAACACTGGATCTTCTGTTTCTGTTGCACTCTTTGCATACCATTCTATTGCAGCCTGGAGAGTGTGTTTCAGGATTTTTTGCCATTTTATGTAAAAGTATCGGTGTATTTGTTTATTCAAAACATTTATGTATGTGTAAGTGAATATTCACACATATACATGCATACATTTTCATTCGTTCACTTTCACATGGTGGCCACCATCATTCAAACACATTTCACACAAACATACTTTTTAATCTCATTTCACTGTGTCTCATGAAGTACGAGACCATACTAATTCTCTGGTATCTTTTGGTGTGAAGGCTTCTCCATCAAACAGGAAAACTTTCCTCCACCAGTACTCAGTGAATAATCTAAGATCTTTACCTTCTATAATTATATGCTTAAACATACTGACAAATTGTGCTCCAGCAAAACTAAAAATACTGTGCCTTAACAACACTAAAATGTGCACATAATGCTGAAAAACTGTGCTCTTGTAATACTTACTTTAAAGTTCGTACAATACACTCTCTTGAATCCTTAATGTCATGTGCTTAAAAAATATACTAAAAGGTGTATATAACTAAGAAAAACTGTGCTTATAATACTAAAAAGAACTGTGCTCCAAAAACTATGTTCTAACAAAATTGAGGAAACTGTTAGCCACAACAGCTCCTGATGTTACCATTGTTGCCTGCAGAAAACAACATCAACCTTGTTTTCTTTCCAAGGTTTCATTCATCATGCAGGCAGCTACGAACACCTGTGTACAAAAAAAACCTTAACATATGAAACAACTTTTGCAAATGAACTGAGGGGGCTGCCACCTGTTCTTTCCCCGTTTCTGTCTTGCAAAAGTGTTGTACAAATTCTTAAATCACTGACCTCTATACCAAAGACATAGTACTGCCTGGCAATTTGGTAGTAGTTTTCAAAGTATACAAGTAATTCACCCTTTTAAAGTTTTTCTAGTTTGGATACGATATAGAATTTTACCTCAAAAATTGGTATGTCACAATCACATACAATTTTAGGTAGACTCGTAACCCAAAAGGTTTCTGTCATATGCCGATTCCAAATAAACCTTGCTACCCACTGTAACACCACTGGGACGAAACACATACAAAGACCAGCACCGCAAGATAATCAATGTCTGATGTAGAATCCCCAAATGTTTCACGATGAATATTGCCACCAGCTGCTGTATGAAAGAAGCCCCGAAAAGAAGACACAAGGACTCCCTGAAACGACATCGCAGCCCTGGCCACACTGATCAACGTAACTGGTGCACTCTGGTCTCCAGTCAGGAGGCCTGGAGACACACTATCTGTAGCGCTGTTGATGCTTCTGAGAAAGGACGCAGGATGGCCCTGACAGTCTGCAGGGCCCCCCCACAACAGGCTGATCAAGCAGGGCAGCAACATCGACAAACCTTGATTTAAACTCTGGAAAACACAGAAAAGTTCAAACGACCCTGCCTCCTGCACAGCCCACACAGCTACAGCCCATGGACAGCATGACACATGAAAAAGGAACAGCACCGGGGGAAAGGCTCCACCTGAGATTTAACCTCTATGAGCCTCTGAAACAAGGTTGAAATAGAACACCAAATTTGTGTAAGAATCTCTTATTTAACTTCAGTCCTGATCATATGGCTAGTCAGACAGGGCTAGTCTTGAAGACAGGGCTTAGTTTTAGCTTTTACCTTTAACACTGCTGCAAGAACAACTTGGCAGCACACAATTCAGGAAAGTTTGTCTCCAAATCTTGGCTAAATCCATAATACAAATATAATCATATTATAACTTTCTATGCTGGAGAAAAATGCAAGTTGTGAGTCCAACTCTGATCCTTGCTTGCTAGCAATATAATACCACATACAAAAGGAATAAGTGGAAACACCTTGTTGGTGACAGAGATTTCCCCAACTCCGGAGTAGTAGATTCAGGGATCTAGAGAGATATTTTACCTAAGAATTAAGGAAATCCCCAGCCTGCTAGCTTTCCACTCATCCTACTTGCAGATTTGTAGTTTTTGTAAGGTAATTTCTACTCTCTCCCTAAATCTGAGAAACTGCTGGAGGTGGTTTGAGTCCCACCCAGGTGCTAAGCAACAAATGATCTCTATTGTGTGAACCTTTTGTCTCCTCCTGCTAAGGCTGAACACGAGATTTGGGCAGAAGGTTTTTACAGGGGTAAAATGTAACTAAAAACAAGGCAATTCACTAAAGCTTTTATATAAAGATTCATTCCCTGGGAAACTCTTAAAATTTCTTGCATGCTAACTTTTAGTAAAACACAATCTTTTAAATTTAAGTCATCTACAAGTGAGTAGAAGGACTAAAGAGAGAGATTCTGCTTTCTGTTCTCAATTACTGTCATGTCCGGAGTCTCCAGGGCTACTCCCCCGCAAGCCAGTCACCGCCGAGCTGCTGTTCCCCGGGCCGCCCCTCACGCCGTGCAGCTCCCGGGGATCCTCGCAGAAGTCTGGCTGGCTCTGCAGAAGTAGCTGTCGGCGTTGCCTCTGTCGCTGAGGTGCCTCAGTCACCTCTTGCTGTGGCTGCCAGCGCCGGCACGCCGGACTCTGGCAGCTGTTTGAATAATCCTGGAAACGCGTGTCCTTTTTTTTTTTTTTTTTTTTCCGAAAACAGCGTCCGTTGCCAAGGCAGCGAGCCACAGTGGCTGCCTTCCGGGTTTCATGGAGGCCTCAGGCGCCAGCGATGCAGCGCCATCTAGCGACGCGGAGGCTCCTAGCAGCGTCGTTCCAGGTGACACATGCGCAGTAGCAGACACAGTGAAGAGTGACACCGCCGACTGCGCAGCCGCAGTAGAGAGCGGTGCCGCTGGCACGGCTCCAACTTTAGTCTCTGCCGCTACCGATATCCCTGCAGCCTCTACACGTCCTGCTGCTACATACACGGTGCTAAACAGAGGTGATCCCGCTGCTGTTAAGCTTCCTAGCATTCGCAACTTCGCAGCCGCAGGCACGGGGATCTCCCCTACAACGGACCGACCGGGGCAGGGACTTACCGTAGTCCCGCCGTCTCCCGACAGAGCTGTTTGAACATTTATGAGGTCCCGTCGCTCAGAACTTAAGTCTCGTAGTGACCCAACTGCCAGACGCCCAACCATAGTACACCTTCGAGCGTCTCCTGATCCCGCAGAGATCTTGTCCCAAAACAATTCCTTTATAGTGTCCCTTGTGGACACCTGAAAGGCGGTGTGAGCAGTGGGAAGTAGATTCCTCGCTCTCACCCAGTCCATTAACCCCTTAGGGGCTTTTTCATCAGAAACAGGCTCTCCTAGAGAGAATATATATCGGAGGAGCGTTTCCACGGCCTCATCCCCTTTGGATGCCGCGGGCCCCATGCTCTCTCCCTCGGTCGACTCACCGGGCCAGGGTAAGATTTCCTCGGTGCCGTGCGCACGGCCTTTACTACAGCGCCGGGGACAGCGCTGCCTTCACGACCGCTTCCCTCAGCTCCTTCGTCTGCCTTATGTCCCTGCAGAACTCGGCGAAGTAGGACTCCCTGTTAAACGGGCGCCAGATATCGGCGGAGAGGCTCGGACAGACTTGCACACGAATCAATATGATTGGCAAAAATGTCCCCTTTATTAGAGGAAAGGCAGCTTATATGCTGCCTGTGGCACAGAGACATGTGATTCTTCCCCAGGTTACATTGGATACATAAGGAAAACGTACTGTGGTGTACAGTACTAATTGGATAACAGTAGGTGTCCATAAAACTTGTTTTCCTGACAGAACAACTCCTCCTTCACCTTGGCACAAGGCCTGCAGCCATACCAGTGGCGCAGTATCTTTTTAATGTCTGCACCAAGCCATGCCAAGGTGAAGGTCTCAGAAATGCAATAGAAATTGTTCACACAATTTCTGTCCTCCGACACCCAGGTACCAGAGATGTATCAAAGGCCACCATGGACTACTCCAGCTCCAGACCTCTTACACATCCAAACTGAGCAGCTTCTATTCATGCTATATAAACACACTTATACTGTGCATTGGCATTTATAGAGTTGCATAAAAGTCAAAAAAATAAAGTTCTGCAAGATTTTAATACTCTTAGGTGGAAGCTTGAAAGGTTAAGTTTACATGTCACTGTTTTCACCAAAACCCAACTAGGTGAGAAAGTAAACTAGATGTGCCATTTCAATTCTTTAGCATTTTATAATCAATTTTCAGTATGCCAATAAATACTCAGTGCAAAGCACATGCTCAGTTAAAATCCTAGGCATGGATAATGTATGAAGAAAATAAAAAAAGAAGCCAGCACATGTTGTCTACATGCTCACAGAAATATATATAAGAAAAAAAAGAGGGAAAAGTGTTCTTCACTTACAGCATTATTTTGGTTTTGGCTTAAGAAATGTAGATGCTTTCTCTCAAAATAACAAGGTTATATCATTGGCTTGTTTAAAAAAAAAAAGTTACAGTGATGGAAACAAAGAGTCTACATTACTTTAAACTGAATATTTCCATCCTCAGAAGCCTGCAGCAAGGTCATACTTATGAGCCAACAGTTCTTGTGGTGAGCGCAAATCCAAAGAAAAACAAACCAAACCCCACAGAAATGCCACCCAATAATTACAGTTTATGGGACAGTAAAAATATGATGGTTTCCAGCAGAAAAACTGTAGTGTTTCTTCTCTTTCACACCACCCACTGGAGTTTGCCCCAATTCTCCACATAATAACACTACTTCCTAATAAGTTCTCTTCCCTATGAATATGGGGATAGATAAAACACCTCAGTAACTGGTAACAGCACACATCTCCTTCCCATGACTGGAGACAGTGATCTAACAGATAACACCTCAGGAAACAGAATTTAGAATGGAAAGATGATGTTTCTGCCCACAGATAGGAACTGAAAATGTGAGAAGTACAATATAGAAAAGAGTTAATGGTTTTGTGTAATTCCAGCTTGGAAGTACAGCATAGGAATCAGGATTATTACAGGAGCATCCATAACATGGCCATTACAGAGGCAACACTGAAGGCTGCTTTGTTAACCCCAGTAATGGCCCCCTCATTGCACAGGTCGTGTTGGCAGCAGAAGAATTCAAAATTATCCAGCTGGAAGAATTCGGCAATTTCATTCATGTTGCACTGGGAAGACTTCCAGCAGGAGAAAGTTCTCAATTTACCTATGAAAAAAAAAAAAAATTAAACAGATTAAGAGCATATTGACAGTAATACCATTGTTGGTACAAAGAGAAAAGCACTGCCTGGTGTTGGAAGCACAAAACACTGGAGAAAATGCAAAGCTCAATATGTGACATGGTGTAAACACAGTAACTGGATGGAGTGGTCTGTGTTGCCATGGCATCGGGGATGAATGTGGAGTGAGGTGGAATCTCTGCAGCCTCACTTATACCTGATACCCACAAATGTTTTGTTCACCTCCTACCAAGAAATAACCCTTACCACGTGCCCACAAAGGCAGGGAAAGTTTGACCACACTCCCACCACAGCACTTTGCACAACAGTGGTTAATAAGGTGTAAAATGCACAGAAAATAACTGGGGGATGAGACATGAAATTGCAGGGACTGGTGAGTGGGTTTGTCCCCCTCACACTCCACAGAAGGGACACTTTTTGCTAAGTCTTGCACCCTCAGCTATGCTGAGTGGTGATCTGGGATATTAAGCTTGTGATTGCAACAGTGTTGTTAGCGCTCCATGGAGCTACTCCACAGTTCCTGTATTTATCATCAGTTCCTGCATTTATCACCAGCAATCCAAGAGAAATGCAGATGTTGGATTCAATAAATCGTGCTTTTAAATCCCCCCAGGGATGGTGACTCCACCACCGCCCTGGGCAGCCTGTGGCAGGGCTTGACAGCCCTTTCAGGGAAGAATATGCAGGAGACAGAGCTTGAAGAGCACATAAGGGTGGTGAAACATTGGCAGAGGTTGTCCAGAGGGGTGGTGGATGGTCCTTCCCTGGAAACATTGAAGGCCAGCTTGGACAGAGCTTTGAGCAACCTGCTCTAGTTGAGAATGTCCCTGCTCATTGCAGGGGGGTGGGACTAGATGATCTTTAAATGTCCCTTCCAACCCAAACCATTCTGCGATTTGACGATTCCTTCACCCTCAGGAAAAGTGAATTTATTTTAGTAGTGACAATTCATAAACAACAGAGTCTTCATCTTTAGGTGTATTTTGTGGGCTGCACATTCTTTATCTGTTCTTAAAGCACAACAAATTCAGGGCAAAGAGTTTGTATTTTAAAGTCAGCGCTGTCTCCTATTTTTTTCCAGCTCCTTTGAGTGGGTTTTTGTTTGTTTCTTTGTTTGTTTGTTTCTTAAATCTAGATATACAGACATCTGTATATATGCTTGTACAACTATAAATCAACTGCCTAAATCATCATTACATTATCAGTTGCTTGGATATAAGCATGACCTTCAAAAGGATTTGCAACCTTCTTTTGAGTGAGGCTTAGAAATGCATACTAAGGCCAGATTAGAGATGCACAGGTGATGAAAACTGATACAAGTTGTGTTTATTTTAGGTTTGTGGGACACCATACATACCAAATTTCATCTGCAAGCAAGTATCTTCATTCGTTAAGCAAGTGCTGTTGGACCTGCACAAGGAAGGGCTGTTCTCGCAGTGGTAACATCTTAGGGTAGAACCTAAGAAAGCAAGGGTTTATCTTTACTGAATAATCAAGCACTGGGACAGCAGCAGCATTAAAAATGAAAAAAAAAATAATCACTGTCTGCATCTAACTGTCACAAAGCAAATGCCTGGTTATTAAACTCAAGCTAAAATTATTAAACTCAAGACTTCAGCTAAAATCGAGCTTATGTCAGTTGTACAAATCAAGACTGGCAATTCTGAAAGGCAGATTTTGAAGCATGTACTCATGTCATTTTTAAAAGCACCATTATATGCCTGCAGAACAAGGTATTAAATTTTTGCTTCTTTTATCTGCTCTTAAAAGACTGCCTTTTCCAGGCAGGATAGGACAGGCAATGACACTTTCAGCACAATTTTATTCTATCCCTATTTTATTTCATATCTCTCTCTCATACTACAAACTGGTTTCCAAATCACCCAGTCTTCCAGCAGCAAGCCACCACAGCCTGTTGCTGTTTTAAGCAGCATCACATTCTGATTCTCTCTTCTGACCCAAGACAATCAGAAACTAAGAGAGAAACTAAGCCCTGCTTCAAAGGTCACTGTCATTCCCCAAAGTGGTATGAAATAATCCAGGCTATTTTTCCTTCTCTGGTGTTTTTGCCATGACTTTCTCAGCCCCTGTCACAACATTACATAGGAAGGTCCCTCCCTTCTACTCACCAAAACTACAAAAAGCAACCAGAACAATGCAGGCGGTTAACAGGATGAAGTTCATCTTGGTCATGCTTCCTCCCTAGTTTGAAGGCATAAAGAGATGTTACATGTTAATTATATTTAAAAGCCACATGGAACTAGCAAAATCCCCAGTGAGGAATCCAGACTTCAAGACTTCAGTATGGAACTAGAAGCATTGGCCCGGAGAAACAGGAAGAGATGAGAGAAAAATTACTTCACTTTCCAAGAGAGGATTTTTATTCTGAGAACGGGATTTTTATTCTGAGAATTGATATTTGAGCCCTGACAGGCTCAGATGGGTCTCATTTCTCCTTTCTGATTACACCATTCAACAGGTCTCCCTATTCCTCACAGCTACAAACACACCTAACAACAACAACAAAAAGGCCATTTATGTCTCAAATGCTTTTTCTTTCACAGCAATTCCCCAATAACCCTGGAGCCAGACTGTGTTGCAAGAGGTTTGGCTGTTCTAAAGGAGCTTTTTTGCATGTCCTCTCCCAAAATTTCGACCTCTCCCTGAGGGACTGACATATTCAATAACCCACCAAGTGCCTGCAGCGATGGCTCAGTTCTCCATGACCGCTGCAATCCATGGGCAGCAGGAAGATGGGAAGGGCAGGATTTCGTTTGAACACAGGCAGCTCCAAAGCAGGAGTTATTAGACAGATTTCTGCACAGAGTCTGAACTGTAATCAGAGCTCCCACTAAAAAATCTCTGCTATTGCAGAGTAGGATATTCAGAGAAGGCATCAAGCAGGCACAGAGGGGAGAGGAGGCCTAGGAGGGCATGATTTTATGTTTGTCTTCAAAGCCCAAGAGGGACTGAAAGTCCCAGAATATTAAAGGTATTCAGAAAACAAGTTTTACACATGATAAAATCATCACATCACTGCTCTTGACCCTGTTAATTCTGCTTGAAGCTATTTCTACATGCAGCCATAACCATGCTAGGCTAGAGGTTTTTTCTCCCAGAAGACTGAAAAGATGGTTTCATAGCAAAACAATATTTAAATGCTTCTCAACCCTTTTTAATTTTCCTACTGACAAAAAAAAAATCCCATTCAACAACAACAAAAAACCCGTGTCTAACAAAATAAAAAATGCAACAATAAAAAAAGGGCTACTACCTTTTTTTTCCTGTCTGTATGACCCACTGCAGAGCAGGAAAACTAAGAAAAACATAACCATAATGTGCAAGATGAGTTGATTTTTCTGGGGTAAACAACTCTGCAAAAGAAACCCTTCAAGGCCACAGGCTCATCCCACAGTGACGTGAATCTGCAGAAGGGCTGTTGGTCTGGTGGTTACTGCAAGAGCCATTCTGGACAGCAAACAGAACCTCCCTGGGAATCTCTCCATCTTCCAGGAGTCCTCAGTCACCCAATGTGTCAGCACGGGAAAACAGTCTCGCCTTTTAGCAAAACCAAGTCATGACCAGAATAAATATAAGGCAAATGAATAAAAATCATCAGGGCCAGTAGTAATTCAACCAGTCTGTTTTTGTGAAATGACTAATTGTTTCTGTACTCCAGAATGACAGGGAAGAAAACTTTAGGTTAAAAACAGGAAAACTTTAGCTTAAAAAAATAAAATAATACATAGAGACAGCAATTCACATCATGGCTTAAAAGAAATAAAGCCAAAAACATTTCCTAGACTGAATTTTCTAAATTGCTTTTTTAACCCAAGCATCCAACCCACCTCAATGACAAGAAACAACAACTGCAATGAAAGGCTCAGTGCGTCCTTGTGAAACAGAATTTCTCTGCAGTCCCACTTGGGAGAGGGCAGGCGGACAAACCTGCTGCTACTGCCACCATAAATCACAATTTATGACAGAAAGGGGTAAGAAAAAGGGAACAGCACCACAAGCCCCAATCCCTGCAGGGATCAGGACCACAAACCCCATTCCTACAGGATGTCCAGGGGGACAAGGACCACAAGTCCCATCCTTGCGGGGATCAGAGAAGGGGAACAGGGCCATGAGTCTCATCCCTGCAAGGGACCAGGAGCCCCATCCCTGTGGGGACCAGAGAATGGGGTAAACAGCACCACAAGCCCCATTCCTGCAGGGACCAGAGAACAGGACCACGAACCCTATCCCCATAGGGACGAGAGAACGGGAGAACAGGACCACAAATCCCATCCCTACGGTGACCAGAAAATAGGACCACAAATCCCATCCCTGCGGGGACCAGGGAATAGGACCAACAAGCCCCATCCCTATGGAGACCAGGGAGCAGAACCAAAAACACCATCCCTGGGGGGACCAAGGAACAGGATCACAAACTCCATCTCTGCGGGAACCAGGAAAACAGCACCAAGAGCCCCGTCCCTGTGGGAACCAGGAAACATCACCACAAAGCCCCATTCCTGCGGCGACCAGGGAACAGCACCACGAGCCCCACGCCTGCGGGGAGCAGCGGGCTGCACAGTTGCCCAGGTCACTCGTTCCCGTGCCCAGACCCCCCGCAGGTGCCCCCGACTCCCTTCCCCGGCTCTCCGGGGCCGCTCGAGGGGTGCCCGCAGCGCCCCGGCCCCGCGGCCGCCCCGCGTTAGCGCAGTGCGGTGCGGCCGCTCCGCCGCCGTGACTCAGGACAGCTCCGGGCACGGGCAAAACACCACCACCTTAAAACCGGCGTAAACACACATTGCCAAGCCAAACCTCCGCAGTTCCCGGGAAAAGCCTTCCCTCCCCCCCACACTCCTCTCCCCACACCGCCGCTGCCCGCCGGGCCCCGCTGCCGCTCACCTTGCCCGGCACCTGCCGCCGCTCGGTGTGAGCGGAGCGGGGGCTGCGGCGCTGCCCGGCCCGCCTGTGCCACCCCCGGGGCGGGGCGGAGCGCCGAGTTCCCGGTGACGGGCCGCCGAGGGCGGGAGAAGCGATCCCAAGGGAGCGGGAACGGGCGGTAGCTGCGCAGTCGCTGCTTCCACAGGCCGAGAAGGGTTTTTGGGAACGCGGCTATTGCCCTCAGGCGCGTTCTTCCCGAAGCCTGTCATGCGTCGCCACTCGTGGTCAAGCCCTAGAATGGTTTGGAGTGGAAGGGACCTTAAGGGTAATCTCTTTCCAACTCCGACACCTTCCACTAGTCCAGGTTGCTCCAAGAGCTGTCCAACCTGTCCTGGAATATTTCCAAGGAATGGGGCAGCCACAGCTTATCTGGGCAACCTGTGCCAGGGCCTCACCATCCTCTCAGCCAAGAATTTCTCCCCAATATTCAGTCTAAACCCACCCTCTGGCAATGGGTTCCTGTTGTCCTATCACTCAAAGCCTTTGCCCAAAGTCCCTCTCCAGCTCCCTGGGAGCCCCTTTAGGCACTAGAAGGTGCTCTAAGGTCTCCCCCAGGCCTTATGGTGGGAATTAATACATTAGGGTAAACAAGACTTTTAGAACACCCAAAGGAACAAACCAGGAATGGAAAGTGGCAGTTTCCTTCAGAGGCAGCTGAATATAGAGCTAAACATCCACAACCTAGAAAAACACTGAAGAAGAGCAACAGAAATGTAGTTGAGGACACCAAAAGGGGGTTTTTGGTACATTGACTTAGATCAGTGCTATTTAGAAAAAAAAAAAAGTTGAGTGCTGACTTGAGTACAATATTAAACACATGTAAACCAGTTGTATTTCAAAAGGAATCTTGGATTTATTTTTGTTACCGCACCAAAACTGCCAATTTATTTGCTAAACCTAAAGCAAACCCCAAATCACTCAAAAGTTATATTAGATTCTGTTGATGTGGTAAGATGATTATCGGTCACCTGAGATTATGATCTTATAAATGTCTAAAAGATTTTACCTCTGTTTAAGCCATAAATAAAAGCAAAATTATATAAGGCTAAGATACTTGTGGGTTATTGGGTGCAATTTATTAAGTGAGAATCCACCCAATTAATACTTGATAGGAAAAAATCCCTTATAAATTCAGTTAAATGAGGAACTGGGAACAAGGAACTTCAGCCAAAGCTGAACATTTACCTGTTTTTCCTTCCCAAAATCTGTCACTAGTCCCTCCAACAGAGCACACATCTGTATCATCACAGATAAATGGTATTTCCAACTCCAGCTGAATTTTTCATCTTACATTCTTTGCATAAACTCTGAGGGATTAAACAATGTCAGGAAAAATTAAAACTAGCCCTGGAATAACTTGCATAGCAACTTTTGTTTGGTTTTTTTTTTTCCAACTGTCCAGCACAGCACTTGTTTTTCTCTCATGTGATGGAGTCATAGCAAGGAAATCATGGCCAAAGGTCCTCTCCATTAAATCATTCAACCAGCAAAATCCCACAAAAATGCTGAAGGAATCTTACAGTTATAAAGAGACTGTCAGTGTAGGGCTCTCCCATGGACAGAAAAAGGATGTGATTAGTTTCATATTTGTGTTGGATGTGCCAGGGTTAACAGGGCTGGTTTTACCTTGCCAGGTGAAGTCCTAACCGAGCACCAGTATTAGAGTCAGATCTGAGCCAGGTGGCAGAACTTCAGGCTCCACCTGCAGAATGGCGGCCGAAGGAAGTGAAGGGCATTCCTGTATTGAGTGTTATAATCTGATTACGGATCTTGGATTACAGTGACCACAGGAAGAATTTGGCAGCTGGATGCACTGTGTGGTGGGTGTTACACCTGCCCAAAACCTGCAGGATCTCACTCAATTCTCTCCTGCTGCTCCATGAAGATTCTGACAGCCCAGCAGTGCTGAGGAAAATCACCAACTCCTTGTTTTCCTCAACGGTCTTGGCTGCTCTTTTTCACTTCACATCGATCCTGGGATTCTGTGATTCACACCTCCCTGGCATTACCTTCAGTTTTGGGTGGGGTGGGGAGAGCCACTGCCTTCAGCCCCACCTCAAATGCACATCCTAAAGAACTACAACGCTTTTGGCAGCTCCGGGCGAATATGCCCTCTGCTAAAATAGCTGCCTGGAGCAAAGAAATAACCTCCCTGTCACAAACACAAACTGTTTGGAGCAGTAACAGCAACCTGTCACTTCCCTTCTTCCCTCCTCACTCCACTGACACCCATGGCCACCAGCAGAGGCCTCACACCCCCCCACTGCAGCTGAGAGAACAGCACTGTCCTGTACTGTGACTTCTCCCACAGACAGCAATTATTACAGCTCATCTTTAACAACCCAAGGAGAACCACTCCCTAAAAAAAAAAAAAAAAAAAAAAAGTGAAATTGCCAAGGGTTGTGCAGAGTCTCATGCTGATTCCACTGAACTAGAACATACAGATCCTGGTAGGAATCCTGCCAGGAAAGGCCTCCAACGATGAGGGTTATCTTGTCCTTAAAAAGACACAACAGACTGACAGCCCTGGAGAAAGTTCTAGTTCCACTAAAACCTTTTTTCACTGATCCTTGATGAAATTTCTGTGAAAAGGCATTAGACCACATCTTCCCCTCCCAGCTAATACAGAGCATACTCACAATGGCAACGTTTTGGAACCACTCCAGCAATTCTCACTCCTGTGAGGGACAACAGAAGTTGGTTTTGCCTCTCTAGATGTTCCACCTGAATGCCTGCTGTAGGGATCATACTCAATATCTACCTTGTGGAAGTGCTGTGTGGCACTTCAGAAAGCTGAGCACATGGAGAGTCCAATACCTGGACTTGTTAAAAAAAGCTGCAATTAGTCAATAATGGAAACTTTGAGCTGGAACCAAAATATTTTTTCCCCCCTCATAGGAGCTACTAATTCTGCCTGTCAAAAAGAAATTACTCCAGCAGTGCTGTCACATAATTATTACCCAAGTCTTGGCAAGAACAGTCCCATGTAGACCTTGAGAGCGAAGGAGGCAGTTAAATTGTTTATTAATGACAACAGAAACAAAGTAAAACTGATAAAGCAAACAGATACTTCTTTAAATATAAAGTTTCTAGTCATCTAGTGTTCTGTCAGGCTCCTGTCTTTTTTTTTTCCTTTTCTTTTTTTCTTTTTTATTTTTATTTTGTAGTTACAAAAATCCGGAGGATTTAGGGAAATATACTTAAATTGGTCACCTATGACAACAGCAAACATCGTATAAAGAAAAAAACCCTCAAAATATATTTACAAATCCATCCTTTGTAGTCAGTGAGAAGTTTCTTGGTCAACAAGTGGCAGATTTATGCATGGACACTACATTCCCAGAGGCATTATCCAACCAGAGTCACTTAGCATAAAATTAAGCTGACAAACAGATTGTCTAAAAATAAGGCCAGTTTCACTCCTAATTTATGCATTTGATGACCAGAATTTTCTGCTATTCCTGTGTTGATTTAAAAATAAATAGCATAAGAGCACCTAAACTCACCCAAATAGGATATACAGACCAAACTGCAAGTTTCATTCTTAGTTATTCAGAGCAGAAACTCATGAGCAAGGACAATAGGATACGCCTTTTTTGCCATCTTGTCTATTGCTGATTTTAAATGCTAATTTTAAATGCTTGTACAAAAACAACCCTCACACACCCTATTTCCAGTATGATCATAAATAGGCGATAGTTTAAAAATGTAAGCTATGATTACCTTGGACTATCAAACTGTTTCACACTTCAGAAAAAAGTGGACAAAGCCCAAACACCTTTCTCTTCCTTTCCCTCCCTCTGTCCCCTCCCTCTACTCCCATTTCCAAACCAGGGGAAAAAAAAGTTATACTCTAATGGATCTTGGAACTGGCACCAACATTCATGCTAGTTGCCCTGATGTGCAACAAAGAGTTCATTTACAATTGTCAGAAATATTCTTATGCACTAGCCCCAAAGAGTTCAGCTCCAGAAGCTTTCCAGAAACAGACTGGGAGAAATCCCATCAGGTATGATGTGGGCAGCACCCAGAGGGCTCAGGAATGTCCAACACCCTGGGTCGATCTTTAGTGTCATCTGTGGCTGTGGAATCTTCGTCTTCATCCACTGCAGGCTCATTAGGATTTGTTTCCTAACACGAAACACACCCATGGTTTAATTAAAACCTCCTCTTCAGTTATAAGAAAGCACCAACAACTGCCTAGAAAAATCTGATCTGCATTATCATGTCGATGAACTGAAGCAAACATTGAGATCCACGTCCTGAAACCTTACAATTACTGAGTTTAATTTGCAAAAGAGATCATTTTACCAAGTTACTTGACCTTTAACTCAGTAAATCTCCATTAGGTTTCATCATTCCATACCTACCACTATGTAAGCCCCAATTCAGTATCTCAGCTCTACTCATTTTCTTGGTGGCTTAGGTTGTCTTTTATTTATTTTAAAAACAAAAGGATCATTGCTACCTTTAAAATAGAGGTAAAGCAACAGAGAAAAGCAAATTATTTTTACAGTCAGCTGAAGGGAAGCAGGTTTCAGCTCCCAAAACTGTGAGCAAGAGCTAAGAGATGTCACTTTCTATTAGAAGCATGACATCTGCTGGCACCTCCTGTTAGAGTCACTGGGAATGAGTGTCTCAAACCCTGGGATAAACCTGAGAAAGCGCACAATGCCTACCCCTGAGGAAAGACTCAGTGCTTGCACAAAAACTAGGAATAAAATACATCAAGGATTCTTCTCTAAATGTGCCAAAGAAAAGGGAGAAATGATACAATTAACTTGCAATTTCCAAACTAAAATTACATTATAATTAACAGCAAGTGAATCATCTTGGTGATTTGCAAAGTCGCTTTATGAAATACACTTTCAGCAAGAACTAATGAACATCACACAGACTGTACAGCTTTTAAGCTGCCATTAACTGGAACTTGTCTGAAAAAAGCAGACACGTTATTAAAGCTGAAACAGATGAGCGTCGTCATACAGACCACACTTCAAAGAGCCTTTCAAGAAAGAACCTCTTAAAGAACTTTGAAATCCAAAC